TTTTCTGTACGTACAGGTACGTACTATTGTGTACGTACTTAAAACGTACATTTTACGTCCTGTACGTACTGTACCAAAACTGTACGTACTTAAGACGTACTGTGCTGTTTGGGATGTTCGTTCCATGGCAGAAAGTAGGTGTTCTGTGAAGCCAAGATTATTGATCTATCCTTTATTTATGCTAGCGTGTATATAAAAGTGATTAGTATGTTTAATTTTTGTTTAGAATATAAATTTAGGTTGATTTCCAGTCCCAAAAGTCAAATTCAACTTCTAATCTGTCATGGTCATTTTATCACGTGACCAATAAAGTCTAGAGCGTTTGTTTATTACATCTACATTCAGCATTGGGATTCTCATCTTTCAATACGACACGTGTTGAGACGCCTACCTTCGTTCCACAGAATGTGTTTCTTATATCTCTCTCTATTCAATTCGTTACGTGTTCACACTAATCTAATTCTCTCTCACGTGATAAAAAATTCGTAACATCTCAGATACATCCGATGTGGATATTCAAACGCAGCAAATAGGTATACGAACGCTCTCACTGTAACACACAAAGTTGACTTTATTTTTGGCCGCGCAATTGTAACTTTAAACCCACTGTGCCTGCGTATAGCCCTACTAGGTAAAAGTCTTTTAATTGATAAAATTCAAGTAATAATTATTTTAAAACAGTCGCACAATCACAAACTTAAAAGTGTGTTCAATAATTTTAAAATGGGGCGTTATGTTGTTTTTACAATTTTTACAATAATTTTGACCATAAAGCTTAGTTGTGGTGATATGTTTGGAACTTTCGACAGAGATGATGAACATTTGACCGTAAGATTAATTATTTTTTATAAAATATTTTATTATACTACATTGAAGTTAAATAAAAGTAAATATAGACAGGTATAGTCCGATTACAACTAGAAGAACACAGCTCGTCTTCATTTGACAAAGTAATTAATTGGTTATCGCCACCTACTGGGGGTTTAGTGGAGTGTTCATATTATAGGAATATAGGAAATATTGCTTTAAACCGAACAACTTACTTATTTTTTATATTGATAGTTATAGATAATATTATTTCCATTACAGGAGCGTCTGCCAACACTACCTCAAGATAATTCTTTGCATATAAACGATGCACCATCAACTTATGGTTATCAAGTCGTGCAATCAACTTACGGTTATCAAGTCGTGCCATCAAATTATGATTATCAAGTGGCGCTTTGGTATTTTGTGCCCGTGCCTTATAGAAGAAATAATTTCTGGTTACGAAGAAGGAAAGCCAGAAACATGTATCCAATGTAACAATGGTAAGACATTTTTTTACTACTTTTAACTAAAAAAAGCAGCAGTCAATTTTCTTGTACAATTTTAACTACAACCTAGATATAATAATCAAGGGTAATATACCAAGACCTTGATAAATAGACATTTTTGTTGCGTCTAAATCTCGAGAATATTTTAATATCATTTTGATGAGACGAGAAATGTATTCAATTGATTATTAATGCTAATATTATATCGAATCAAATTATAAAATATTCGAAAAATTTAGCAACAAAAATATCAGAGTAATAATCAAGATGTTATATTTAGGATAACTATTTCACTAGACCAAATATTGACTATTTCTCTAGATGGCTCTAAACGACTGTCTGTTGGCTTTGACAGTCAGTGACAGTGTTGCCAGTCTAGTACAATTGTACTAGATCTAGTACATTTTTTAAAAATCTGGTACACTCTAAGCAAAATCTATTACCTTTTTCTTTTTCAGCGTGTTACCATTTGAGTTGTGTAAAATATATTATTGGGACCTTGCTCGTCGTTTTGTTTTCGTTCGCTAAAAAACCCTTTTTTATTCCTTAATGAACCAAACCACATTACAATTCATTCGAAAATCTGGTGCATTTTACAGAATCTAGTACATTTTTTAAAAAATCTGATACATAACTAAAATATATTCTGGCAACACTGGTCAGTGATGTCATAGGTATAGTTTGATCAAAGCGGGCCGCATTGCGAGCGGCCATATTGTCTCGCAAGTGCTCATTAATCAGACTTGGTTTAGTAAAAATATATTTTTAACCTATTATTAAAAATTTCCCATGACATATTTTCTTTCTACTCTCATTTTACATTGTAGCTACTTATTAAATGCCTACATAAAATCTGTATCGTAATATTCATTACGATACAGATTATTTTTGTTTTGATACAGATTATTTCAATTACCATCCAGATTACCTATGGATTACATATGGATGAGCAATATATGTAACTATATACATCATTGGTGTGATTGTGTCATCTGAATTATCGACTGTCGGCGCCCCTCTGGTACAGAAGTGCCATCTTAATTTTATACATTTTGAGGGACACTTTTTGTATACAAAGATAGTTCTCCTTACCTCAACACTCCATAATTTTGAAAAACATGAATGATCAAACTATACAACTATATATAGATTGGCAATTGACAATTTGTGAGACATAAAGGGACCTTGTTTTTTTCCAACTTCATACCCAACCCCAACCACTCGCATATGGCTACCCTCGCCAGATAGCCATTTTGTTTGGACTGCCTAATTGCTTCGCAACGACGACATTCACGTGGCCATGTTTTTTTGTAATATTGCATTTTTTATATTTCAGGTTAATTTACTTCATGAAGACAAAAAAAATTTTTTCATTAGAGTTCAAAAACATAAATTGACATTTAATTATAAATATTATTTTGTTAAATAAAGCTATTTGTTAAAACATTTCTAATTGACTTTATTGACCTTCTTATTTATCCTATGTATACTATTTAATTGAATATGTAAAAATTGTAAGTAATAACCTTACCTACTTATTTTAAAATAGACATAAAAAAATTACAGTGTCAAAACATGAATTGAGTTGTCAAAGTAAATATTAATTGCGTCCGAGTTCTGCTTTTTAATTAGTGATTTCTAGTGTTTCCTTTAAATTTTTTGACACTTTCGAACAATATGCCATTTTAGTAATGATCTGTTTACCTAAATTATATATATATTTTTTTCACTTTTATAAATATATTCCTAAAGTAAGTAGATAACATGCATCAAATATACAATCGTTTAGTTACCTTTAAACTATTTTTTATGACCTGCAAACAATGTTTAGAAAAAATTTTAAAACAGTATAAAAACATATGTCAAATTTATTGATGTTTTTATTAAAAGTTTGGTTAGAATTAAATGTCATCGGAACCAAAATGACATCACACTAAACTAGAGTATAGTATAGGTATTGTAAACCTAGGCAGTAAAGTAACTGTTTTCCAGGCCGAATCGACAGGCGAGGCGAAGCGAAGCCGAGCCTGGACACTTTACGAGGCCTTGAAATCCTTTTTACTGTAGTGGTTTGCATACTAATTTTTATCCTGAACTAACAGAAAAGTTTACCCTACGCTAAAATGAAATGATTATTTCTTTGGTAATACATCAAGAACAACTTTTTTTGCTTTTTCGTTAATATCCGGTGGTGTGCAATAACTAAATTCTTCACCTTCACCAGAAGATTCCATATTATAAACTAATTTACTTTAGGAAAGAAATTTGAATTTAAATAAGAAAATCCGCATTTGTACCAACCACAAAAATTACACCAGATTACCAAAAATTATTTATGTACATGCATTGCGTTCGGTCTGCCAAGTTCCTTTAACTCCAAACGACCCTTTTAGCGTTCGGTTTAGTCCGATTAGTGACAGTTTAACACGCTTAAATGTCATTTAAAAGCACCCTAAAATTTGTTCCGCTCTAGCCCCTGACTATCCGAACTCGCCTATATTAACTATTGACGGCAACACACACAACATCTATATGTAATGTGTGTTGCGGCAAATTACCTATCTTTATAATTTATTTTGAAAAAATGAGTACAACTTGTCTACTCTACATCAATTATAGATAAATAACACTAAACTCATAACCTGTAGCAGAATAAACAAGTTTCTATTTTTTATAAAAAAATATTTTATCCTTTTACATAAAAAGTATCTTTAATTATTTAAAGACCGATAAATTCTTAAAATAAAACGCCAACTTAGAGAAAAACTAGAGGTGGGTGATAACGTGATTTTTTATCACACTGAATCGTTACTGGGATTAGTAAATTCAAATAAATGATGTTATGTTACCTCAAATAAATTAATGAAATATTCGTATTTGAAAAATATTTATGAAATCGATAGAACATGTAAAGAATGTCAAACCAGGTCCTTTTTCTTACGACGAGCTTCTAAAAGGACATTTTAAGGTTTAAAAAGTCACAAGAACAGTTTGTTTAAAAAAGACTGCCCTTTTCAAGAATCTTATACTGTATAGGAACCGAGTGCTCCTATTTTCGATTCTTTTATAGTGAAAGTTTGCCAGTTACAATCAAAGAAAATAGTAATACAATTAGTAGTGTTCGGATTAATCAGGGGCTGGATCATGACAGAAGGGAAGTTTTTTAGGGTGCTTTTAAATTAAATTTAAGAGTGTTGAACTGTCACTAATCGGAATAAACCAAACGCTAAGAGGGTCGTTTGGAGTTAAAGAATTGAATTAAAATTGTCTGTCCGAACTTACCTATAGTAAAACAAATATTGAACACCTTTTTTAATATTTTCATTTTATTATCATAAATTTTTTTTTAAATAATATAGGCTCATAAACAATCGATATAAGAGCACTAAAAATGACGAGATAATGTTAACATCCGGCGACGTTCTCTTGACGATCTTAAAATAAATTTACTGTTCATAGTAACTGCAGTCTTCTGTTGTTTTTTCTTTGTCTTAGGAGATGTTCCTGTAGTAAATTAATATGAAAGCCATGGAGCTAAATCCTGAACCATCCTTGTAGGTATTAAAATTTAATTTGATGTAGTGATGTTTGCCCTGTTCCAATAATTCTGAAACCTCCAATAGATAAGGGGAAATCGTTATTGTCGTGTTGTACCCACGAGATAGCTGTGAAGATTTTAATCTGTTACCACAATTTGAAAATTTACAACATAAAAAACTTTTCATTTGAATGAAAACTTCAAATACCATAAACCCCACCACCATCTTTCCGTTGATCAACAATTCCCATGATGTTATTTTCATCTCTGTGTAACGCATAAACGATTGAATCAGATTTTCTCTCCAACTTATGACCCATTGACTTTAGCTTATTCACAATATCCTAAAACCAAAAATATTTTAATCAAAAACCATCTAATTGAACCGACAAAAAAAATCATAACTTTTTACCCTGTACATCTACCATCATATCTCATATCTGATGTTCCAACGGTTTTCAAGAAAAATAATTTAATGAAATTTTATGTTTTAATCTTTATATTAAAGTAGGTACTATTTACAAAATAAATTTCTAAATTCTCTAGAATGCTTACAAGAAAAACAAAACAACAAAACTATGAAATATTAAATTTTTAGTAGGTAGATCCAAGAGTGTACATTTGGATGTACAGGGTAAAAACAAAGAGTAATAATAACAAGAAAAGACAGTCAGAGCGAGCGAATAAATCTAAGAAAGATAGCACTATATTCAAAATTTACAAACGGACCTCATAGGCGTCCGCTGAGTAAATAATTTGTTGACGTCAGAGGTGATTCTAATACGCTTTACGTATTAACTATATTGGTCGAGTCTCTTTTTCTACTCTTCGATTTTGTTTAGTGCTAGACTTATTTTTTCTAATAACAAAAAATGTGGCAATAAAAAAATTGAATATGATGAATTTATAAAAATTTCGTACACCCATGATTCTATAGATATAATTACCATCCCACAAGCATTTAGTAAGCAGGTAGATAGCATAAAATCTCTCGCAATCGTTCATTCACGCAGACTAGTGTCGTTTCAATCATTTGAAAGATGTCGAGGATGATATTGCCAACAAAAGTGATGTGTGGTACATGATGGTGGGTGAGGTTTTCCAGATTTTCCTCACTTGTAAGTCAAATGGCGCCATCAATCATCTTAAAGTCGCCCCGGAGCGCCACGGCAAATAATAATAGCCGTTCCTTCCCCTACACAAGTCACTCTGTTGGCTTCAGGGGTTGAAATTCACTCATAAGGGGGTAAATTAGGGAGAGTATTATTATAATATGTTGAACAAAATGTCAGACTAAAATGAATAACACCAAATAAAATTATTTAATATAATATGAAGTTTAAATTTTCTTGTAGAGAGTTTATTGAATTTTTATGGCATATATTGTAGTTTAATCATTTTGGGAATTTTTCTAGTACATCAAAAACAGTATTAATCATGAAGTATCTACAATTATTTATATCAATTTGGCAACATTAACACTCCTATTTAAAGAGATGAAGCCATCTTGGTAATCTTTGGTAAAAAATAATGAACCTATTTTTCAAAGCAATAAGTCATAAGTAGCGCCCTCTATGAGCACGTGAAAAATGTTGCAGATTCTTGCGATTTGTACCAAAAGAATATAAAGTTGAAAAATTTTCAAGAAGAAAACTAAGAATTTTTATAAAGGCTTATAGGAGTTTATGATTAAATCTCCCATCCATTTGTTGAAATATCATTCCCAATTGTTAGCTTTCTTGTTTTTCTTGAAAATATTGCTACATAAAACAATATTTATCGATCACATTATATACACACATATTTACTTACATTTCGTTACAAATTTTGGTTCTCGATCAATTTAAGAAAAAAAGCACTGCTTAATGGGTCGTATCTACAGTAATGTAATAAAACACCTCGTATATTTAATCGTATATAACAGACATTACAGGATCCCAAAATGTGCAAAAAAACTATTTCGCACTGCTGTCTTACTCTATACATTTAGTCTTTTCTTAAAGACAAATTGTGATTGGCTGAATGACACATACGTCCATACAAAAAAATACCCTGTACAATTACCTTTAACAATCCATACTCGTAATGAGCTTCCATGGGAAATAACTGGTGATGTACTCTGGCGGCATCTATGGCTTCTTTTAGATTATCTCCGAACCATAAAACTCGAGCCAATGTCTAAAAAGATATAGAATTTAATTGCAAAATACGAATTGATATAAATATAATAAATGAATAGCTAATAAGATTTCATCACTATTACGATTTGCTGGAACCACGTGCGGTCTAACGACGAACAACTACTAGACTAATTTTGTTTACAAAAATCGAATTGCAAACATTCACGGTGTCATCCATGTTGTTGTCAAATTATTATGAGTGAGCATGGATTGTCTATGATTATAATTCGGAATTGACTTAGCACAAAGCTCTAAAACGCACAGAAGCCTTCGAAATCATATCAAGGAGGTATATTTGCATTCTTAATGCCAGTTATTATAAGTTTAATACCTTATTCTTGTTGCAACTATCATAGTTGAAGTTGATTTCCAAGAAAGTACGCAATTTATTTTGAAGTGTGGCAGCACTGGTAAAGCAAGTGTAGTAGCCATAATTACCGATTCATTAAAATGAGCCCTTATAAAATCTTGAAATCGAAAAAAAACATCAATAAAGTTTTTCGTGGAAGTTAAGATTATTTTTTTTTCTTTTCGAAAAATGTAAATATCTCGGAAACTACTCGTTTTTTGAAATTCAAAAAATTCATGATTATTTAACACTAATAAAATTTCACTTTCACCAAATTTCATGTAAATTAAATTATTTTTACCCTATAAAAAAATTAAAAACTGAAAAATCGGGTTTTCGCCTTTTTCTCGGAAAATTTGAGGTTATGTTGAAAAACGTCTTATACAAAAGTTTTAGATTTTTTTATTATCTACAACTTTCTTATTGAACACTTTTCGCTAGGAGCTTACGTTTCGCCGCAAAACCGTTTTCAACCCCTAAACTGCACCCAAATTCTACCCCTTCCCAATGTCTCGTATTTAAAATTTTTTAGTTCTTTTAGATATTACCCTAACTACATGTTCCACCTGGTTCTTACCTATTAATTTTTTTTTTCAGCATTTAAAATATTTTGGCACCAGCCTAATAGGAAAACTGGCGCAATTTGATAAAAATTTGAATTATAGCGCATTCGACTGGTAGCACTGTTGTGCATTAGTTCGACTTTTGTAAATGCTATATATTCGACTGGTGGAACTAAACAAATTGTTGAATTCACCTGGAATTTCTCAGCACAAGGACAGAGTTAATTTTTTGTTTGACTGGCTTAAAGTTTGAATTTTTTGGAACTGTCCTTTTTTACTGCCGACCAGGCTCTATTTAGGGGATTTGTAAGGTTTCATTTTCAATTTTTAAAATATGTTACTTGGGTTTTTTTTATTATCCAGTAGTAGTGAAAATGAAGATATTAGTGAGGAAACGTGGTATAAAATGTAGAAAACAAACATTTTAGTATATATTAAGTAGTAGGAAAGAGGAAAAAAGATACAAATTTAATTACTTTAATATAATAATAAAGATTCTAAACTTACCCCAGCAAACATTTTGGTGTAATTTGACGTCGATACTACCTAAATTATATATAATAAATTTGGTCGCAAAATTAGATTTAACCATAATTAAGTAAAATTTACGTTGGTTCGACGTGGATTCGACATAAGTGGAGAATAAGAAATAAGAAATTTGGTTTTATTTACCAAAATAGGTAGAATTACATCTAAATCCACATTGTAGTAGCCCAGTACGTTTGGTTAGTAATACCTCTCTAGGGAAATTTGACGTCAATATAACGTTAATTCGACGTTGATTTAACTAAGTTTAGGTAGAAACTACCAAAATATTTGCAGATGACGTATGCCTCCAAGTGTACGAAAAGAAATTTTATACTTATTTGGTATTTTTATCTATATATAAGTAGAAATATTGTAAGAAGTCACCAACACAACTAAAACATATACCTAATTCACATGAAAGATTGAAAATAAATAAATGTCGGTGACAAAAATATATGTAATGTAATTGCGGTGAATATATAGTTCACGCTTGTTGAAATTAATGCGAAGAAAATTTTGTCGTGCATGTTAACAGTTCTACTTAGAAAAATAACAATGTCCTTCCAAAATACTCTCTAATTAAAAAAATATAAGAAAAAAATATGATCGTGTAAAAAAATAATAATATTATGAGCTAAAACTATGTTACGTTTGTTGTGTATCACTTTATAAAATCAATAATGTTTCGTTTTTCGGTATTTTTATTCGTATGTTCTAGTTATGGTCATTTTAAAAATTTAAAATTTGGAATCGTACTTCAATTACGTTAAGAAAATATGGCGTATTGTGCGAATTCGACCTAAAAGTTATTATGACTAAGGAAATCTACGTATTTTACAAATACCTTTTTTTTTTTTGGAGTGAGGGTAGCCATATGTGAGTAGTAGGGATTAAGTGTAAAGGACCTTTTCTTTAACCTTTACACTTAAATACCTTTTTATTAAGTTGAATTAACTTCAATTTCACGACATATTAGTTAACTTTACCTATTTAAAGAAATAATAACTTATAGGTTTTATAAAAAAATTACCTATATGTAAATATAACATATTTAGGTCGCATTGTTCTGCACTTGAGATTTTAGACGTTTCACTTTACGATAAAAATCGGAAGTATAACGATATGATTTATTATTTTTCGAACTCATTTTATTAATTATTTTTCGCACTCATTTAAAACTCTATCTACACCACACGTAAATTAAGATTACGACTGTAATGGTTTTTTTAAAATGGCCGAAATTCTTAAGAATAATGACGAAGACAGTAACTGAACAACCTAATTGTTAAAATAACCTAAATAATATAAATTTTACAAATAGGTCATGTATGACTCTTTTTAAATTGGTGGTTTTTAGTCGAATTTACTTTGTGGTAGATTTTTCAGGTAATTGCTACAACAAAGTTAATAAATATTTCTTCAAGATGACTTATAGGTCAACTAAATGAGTATTCGACTATTTGGTTGAAATTAGGTAGATAAACAGGTAGAATTTTGCTACGATCTCGACCTAATATTACTTTAAAGGAGAGTAAATAAAAGCGGCCAAATAGGTTACTATGGAAGCATAAAATTACGTAGAATTTTTAACCAAATCTACCTAGTTGGATATTCTACTATAAAGACGATTTTTAGTTGCCAAACAGGTAGATATTACCTAAATATGGCACCTAATTTTACTACAAAGGAAATTTAACTTTGAAGTAATTGTTGGTTATTTTTTTTAGTAGTTTTTCCCTTGCTGATATGGTTAAAGTTACTTTTAAGCAGATTTGTGTAAAAGGTAGATTTCTTGGTATAATTTACGTAAATTTAAATATAAATTAAAACCGTTTGGTAAATTTACATTAGAGGTATATTTTTCTAGTCAATTTTACGTAATAATTACCTCAATAAGTAAATTCGTTTTTAACAAAGTCGAGTTATAACTAATGTTATAGAAAATGTTTGCTGGGACAGTTCAAAAAGAACTTCAAGATGAACAATAATACATATGAAATGTTCAAAACCAAATTTGAAAATTCACACTTCTATAAAAAGATTGAAAACACAATAGAAGCCCACTCAAAACTTCATAAGTAGGTACTGCATTTAAATCGGATATATTAAATTACGTTAGAAACTAGAAATGTCAACTGTACTAATTAAATATCGATAAAATACTGTACCTTGCCATTGCATAGGCGAAATGGTTCACACTTAGAGTTCCTCTTAAAATCATCAAAATTTGTTGTTGTTTCCAAATGTAAATCCAAAAATGTCATTTTGTTTTTACGTTTGATATTATTGGTAGATGATCCAGTGGTACTTTAAGGTGTGTTATTTGCGAAAGATACAATTAAAAATAGAACATGGAAATAGTTTGCTGCAGTTCCTGAACTATGGAGCCCTCAACAGTGACGTCTTAAAAAAAGCCTGTCATAGAAGAGAAAGCTTGAAACCAATAATACATTTTATTTATCACAAAAAATGAGATTTTGCACCGCTACCAAGATGGCAGCAAACTTTTATCAATTCTTTTTTTATAGTTTTAGAGTATTTCCATCTTATACTAGGTAAGAACGATAAATTTATAATTCAGCCTATATAGACTCGATGACAGTTTTTGTAAGGCAACGATGAGTGAGAGAGAGAGGGAGAGAGCAAATAAGTTTTTTTTTTTGGTAAATTACTTGATTCAATAGTCCCGGGCTTTTTTAACGAAAACGTTCAACTTTGTACATATTTATATTATTTTATTTAACTACTACTTACATGTTTAATATTGCACTAGGATTTAACATTTTGTTTTCTGTACTATCTTTGCTCAGAGAACTTAAGTGATTTTTATATAACATAAACGAATTGTTATGATGCTGGTGAGAGACGACCTTTATTTTATGAAGGCCTGAACCTCTCTGCTAATTTATATTGTTTTAATGAGAGAGATATACTTATGATTACGTCATCTTAAACTAGTTAGCCTTTTGTTTTTTACGCGGGAGTGTGTTGGCGTACATGGCTTTTGTCACGTAGACCTTATTGTTAGCCGCCAACAATGAACACCTGGGTTCGCGAGCACAGGACCGTCTTTTATGTTTCAAAATCATTCGTTTTGGAACACTACTTTTCTATTATTCTGTAGCTTGGACAGAAAATAGATATATTACGTTATTTCTAAATTCCTATAGTTCATGTTGGCAGGGTATATGATACTTTGTTCCTTGTCAGATAGTAACTGACCAAAAACAATTATTAATAGAAGCGATTCTTTGTATTAACTTTAAATGTCAAATTTCTTACCAAAGCTATCGCAGTAATAATTTTAGGCCCTCCAGCCGCGCCAATGACAGTTTTAACGTTTCCATTTTTATCTACTAGTATTGAAGGCGACATCGAAGAAAGTGGTCTTTTACCGGGTTTCATTTTATTCGCTTCTGAAACGGGAATTCCAAAATAATTTATTATATCGGAATAAGCGAAGTCGTCCATGGCACTATTGAGAACGATTCCAGTGCGTTTAGAAGATAAACCAGACCCAAAACTAAAAATTCAAGTATCATTAAGTATTTACGTCAATATTTAGTGCTATCATGCTTTTTAAATCACTATGTGAGTCGTTACTACTACGTTAAATATCAGTTATTAAATTACAGTTAATAAAATATCGTCCAACTCTATCAGTAACGATTTATTAAAGTTTACTGATCTGTACCTGTATGTTATAATAGTGATGACGTAATTTGTATTCCACTGACAATTAAAGTAACAGTAGACATATAAAAATAAAGGTTATGGGTATTCATTAACATTTTGTTTCTATCATTTATTATTATTATAATTTGATAAGATCAGGGGCCATAAGACCCATATTAACTGAATATAAAACAATATTACTAAAAACTAAATCAATAACAAGTACAACCGATGAATAAACAATGAAACAAATGTTAATTAAAAAATAGAAAATTATCAAGTTCGTTCTTGAAAACATTGACAGATGGAGCATTTACAACATTCTCCGGTAGAGAATTCCGAGTGTAGAATATTCGGTTAAATAAAAAATTTTGCCTCGTTTTCGTAAGAAATTGTTCTTTTTTCAGCTTCCATTTATGGCCACGTAGTCGATTTTCACTGTCCACGATGAACATACATTTTAAATTTCCAAAATTATATTTTAATATACGAAAACAAATTATCATATGATCCTGCAGACGGCGATTTTCAAACGTTTGTAGTTCAGCCATATGTAGTCTCTCTGCGTAATTAGGTCTCATACGTCTCATCGACAATATTATTTGATCGCTTATATTTACGCCATAATTTACTTTTATGTCTAATCAAGGATATTAGTTCTCCGTTGATCCACGGTTTTAATTTATTTTTGTAAAACACCTTCTTTTTAGAGTATTGGATTTAATGAGTAGCAATAACGGTTGCGAACTTATTCCATATTTCTGCCGGATCTCCCGAGTCACCCAATCCTATCCAGTTGATGGTAGATAAATGACGATTTAATTTATCGAAATCAATGATTTCATATGATGTAGTATGATCTTTGTGAGATGGGTTCTCTATGTTAAACTGTATACGACTTATGATGACTGCATGATCCGATATTCCTATCGGAGATTCAATGATAGGGTCAGTTAACAATTGTTTATCATTTACAAATAACAAATCTAGCGTGAAAGGAATATTATTGACTAGGAATCGTGTTGGATCTGTTATAAGTTGTTGTAAATTAGAGCTTAGAATAAAGTTCAAAAATTTATTTTTTGAATTTACAACATCACGAAATATCTCGGAAATTGAAATCACCAATAATAATAACATTTTCTAGTGAAGACAGATATTCAAGTTTTTCAATAAGGATTATGTCTTCAGCTAGTTGAGAGTCTCCGGGAGGATAAATGCAGACTAAATGAAGAGTAATAGAGCTAGAATAAATTTTTAAACCTAATTTTCAAGATTTTTTTTGTCACTCACTGTTCTATGAAACCTTAGCTTAAAATAAATCATAAACATGAACAAATACACTGAGAGCATATTTGTATTATTTTTCATTGGTTTGTTTTCACCTCTACATTTATATTTGTTCAATTTACATCAAAACAAATTATTACAGCTTCACACAAAAACAAAAAATCCGTTATTTTTGATTTAAGAACTTTAAACCAATATTTGATTAAACTAAAATGTCATAGAAGAAATCGTTAACTTACTAAATATTAATAGTGCTGGTTGCAGCTACGGCATCGCCATTTCCATCCAAAATCGATAGATGAGCTGTACCGTAATCTTCGTTTGAAAAATATTTGGCACCATAATAGTTTGTACTAGAATTAGTTTTGTCCAAATTAATTTTTAATCTGATATCGGTTGCAAATTCTTTAGATGTTATCTGCTCAACTATCTACAAAAAAAAATATTCAGAATAAACAAAATACAATTAAAATCAGGTGATCTCGAAAGTCAGCTATATATTCTCGAAAATGTTAGTTGTTACAGGTAAATACATATTTTATCAATAAAACTTCAAAATTTTTGACAGTAAAAATGTTAAAGGACGTCCCAACATGTAATTATTAATAATAATAATAATTAATTATAATAATAATAATTTAATAATTACACATTTATTGTCCACATATAAAGTACATATAGTACAGTTTATACAATTAAAAATATATATATATAAAAAAAAAGTCAGTAGACAATTGGCCCAAATTGGTTCAGGTGCGGATATTATCCACCCCTGGTCTTCCACCAATGCCAATATGATATAAAAAAATGCACTTTGAGATGGCTTTCTAAAATTATAAGAAACGTTTAATGCAAAGGGAAAGAAAGAGGAAAGGAAACAGAAAAGGATAAACAAAAGGAGAAAGAGAAATGAAAAAATAAAAAAGAGTAGAAATAAAAAGTAATTATTGTGTTTGCAGCAATATATTTTTATAGCGGCATTTAAAGGTTTCTGCTTTTAAATGTAATAATGTTGGATCAATTTTTAACAGGTTATTGATATGAACTGTGACATTGTAGGTAAAAGAACTTTTAAAACTAGCTTTGAAAAATCTAGGCAATCTAAGTATGGATTTAAAACGAATATTTAGGTTATGAACATCAGTTCTAAATGTTAATTTTTCATGCAAGTATGGCGGTGTCCTCATATTAAATAATTTGTGACTGAGACAAGCAAAATGTAAATTTCTTCTATTAACCATATTTAACCATTTAGTTTCTTTAAATTTAGTAGAAATGTGATCATATTTACGAATTCCAAATATTAACCGTACACAAGAATTCTGCAATTTTTGAATTCTTCCAGACTCGAAAATGTTTGAACAAGGACCATATACAATATCACAATGATTAAAATTTGATAAAACTAGTGAATCACATAACATTTTTTTTACATCTGGTGATAAAAAAGATCGTTGCGCATATATTAGTTTCAAACTTGCATAAGACAATTTTAATTTTGATGTAATATGTTGTTCAAACTTCAATTTTGAATCTACAGTAAGTCCTAAGTTTTTACATTGCGTAACAATTGGGATAAACGCGTCATTAATTTTTAATAATGTCGCGGAGTTTACGGGATCCCTAATTGACTCATTACAAAAAATCATTGCTTTGGATTTTTTAGGATTAATTTTTAGTGAATGATTTTTAGATACATTAAAGATTTCATTTAAATCAGAATTAATATGCTGTATAGATTCATTTAAATTGGAGTACTTAAAAGAATAGTATAATTGGGTGTCATCAGCGTATAAATGATAATTACAGTATTTAAGTATACTTGGAAATTGTGAGGTATAGAGAGTAAATAATAAAGGGCCCAAAATACTACCTTGAGGTACACCAGATGTAATCTCCAACGGTGTGGAAGACATATTATCTATTTGAACAATTTGTTTTCGCTGGTAAAGATATGATTTTAATAGAGACACAGATGTATTATTAAATCTAAAAAACTTCAACATGGCAAGTAAAATTTTATGATTTATATTATCGAAAGCTTTCGAGAAATCTAATAGTATTAAGATAGAAATCTTGTCCTTATCCATGGCTCTAATCAAATCATCTATAACATCCGCTAGAGCTGTGGCACAGCTGTAGCCTGACCTAAAACCAGATTGTTTGCTAGGTAATATATTGTTGTTTTTCAAAAACCCTCTCATTTGAATTTCCATTACTCTCTCTAATATTTTGGAAAAAACTGGTAAAATACTAATTGATCTTAAATCACTGTATTCTTCAGGTAAAGTTACTTTTGGTAAGGGCAAACTTTAGCGAATTTCCATGATTCAGGAAAATAACTATTTTTTAAGCATTCATTAATAATGTGTGTAATAATGGGTAATAGAAATGGACAACAGAAGTGTAAAATGATAATATTAATATCATCCATTCCGTAAGCTTTAGATTTGATATTGTAAATAATATTATTGACAACATCTTCGGAAACATCATTAAAATAAAAATCTTCAGTAATATTTTCTTTAAAATTGTTAAGGTAAAAATGTTGTAAATCTATTTGTATAGCAGAGTTATTAATGTTTGAAGTAAAAAATTTGTTAATGGCATTAACATCTTTTAGGTTTGGAGGTAGGTCAATTTTTTTTTGTCTCGATATATTGAGTTTTTTTAATTTTGGCCATTTTTCCTTAATATTATAAGATTGAAATTTAAAATTTAAGTAAGCCCTTTTTTCTGCTTTTATAGCTGTTGTTGTGTAGTTTCTTAATTGTTTATAGTAATCCCAATGCGTTGGAAGTTGTGTTCTGCGAAATTTTTGCAAGGCTTTATCTCTAAGCCTTTGCATATAAATAATATTTTCAGTAATCCAAGGAGAATGTTTAATTAGTTTTCTAGTTTTTGATTTTTTTGGAGCATGTATATCTAAAACTGTAATTATGTAGTTATTTAAAAACTCTACTTTTTTGTCAATGTTTTCAGTAAAATAAATATTGTACCAGGGCATAGATGCCAAATGATTTTGAAAATGTGCATGATTAATCTTTGTAAGTGACCTATATTCTACTTTAAAGTCGTTTTGAGGTACATTGTGAAAATTTTTAAATTTGCAGTTTATTGCTGAATGATCCGCAACTAGATTATGATTAACAAATTCTGCACATAAATTGATATTAATATTAGTAATAAATAAGTCCAACAAAGAGTTAGCCCTTGTTGGTTCTTTAATTATTTGTAATAGATCAAATGTTTCAAGTATCTTGTTAAAACGAATTGTAGTAGAATCATCAATATCCAACATGTCTATATTAAAATCTCCTACACATATAATATAATCAAAATTTGAAAAAATATTGGAAAACAAAGTTTCAACTTGATCCAAAAACAATAAATTATTACCTCTTGGTTGCCTATATACAGTACCTACTGCTATTATTAAATCCGCCACACAAACCTTAATCCATAAATATTCCATAACATCATTACATTCCGAAATAATTAAATTACATCTTAGTTGCTCCCTTATATACATACCAACACCTCCGCCTCTGGTGAGTCTATCTTGTCTAATAAATTTATAACCATTTAAATGTACCAAATTACTGTCTATTTCTGGGTTTAGCCAGGTTTCGGTGACCCCAACAATGTCACAGTTCGTATCAACAACATAATTATGAAAATCAATAAAATGCGGTACTAGCGATCTAACATTTACATGGGCTACATTAAACATCAGCAAAAATAAATAAATTAGTACTTATCAATTTATTAGAATAGCGAGATTACTGTTTTGGAAGTGGTTTAGCTAAGAGAGAAGGAGAAAAGCAGACAGAACAAGAAAGGAAGGGAAATAAAGGATTTCGATAAAAATTTAGTCCACTCGGAGACTGCTACGCAATAGTATTTTGATGCTCCGCTCAAAGAAAAACGGATTTTAAAATAGAAAAAGGAATAAATAAAAATTTGAGAATGTATTGTGATGGGAGAAAAAGCATTGTTTCTCATCATATTGGCACCTAGTGTATATCAAAAAGTTTTAAATACAATACAAAAAACTCGTTTTTATAAAATTAACAGTTGTATTACTTATATAAAAGTATAATTACAGAGAAAAATTTGAGAAAAAAAAAAACCAAATTGTGTATAAAACCAAATATTTTTAAATAATACCTTGGAATAGCAATATTATTAATGAATTCATCAATTTAAATTTTAATTATTACTATCATAGCAAAAATATAAAAACAAAACAAAATATATATATGTACAAACACAAATTATTAATTATATAGAAGATGATTCTGAATACATGTCTTTCAAAGACAAAACGAAGGGAAATAAAACATATCATTTTCTAAATTGAAATAATAAAAAAAAAAATTTTTTATGCATTCGTATAAAAACGAAATAACGAAATATATTTAAACAAATCCTTTAGCTCTATAGTAAAGATTATTCTTAGTAAAATACACCATTTAAATAATTATAGCAAAAAAAAGTAAAATGCACCAATTTAAATAATTATAGCAAAAAATATATGGTAAAAAAAATTTGGAGTACCAACAAACCTTATATTATTAACAAGTGATTTTAAATACCCAAAGGGCCCTTATGAAATAAAAAAAAAAAATAAATAAAAGACCAAGAAGAAAAATTTGAATAGTTATTAAAGTAGGTACCTAATTATAATCACTAAAAGCTTCAAGTTCTTCAACATCTTTCAGCTTATGGACACTATTGTCTTGTTTTAAAAATATGCAGCCATTACGACACCATACATTATTTTTTGTAAATTTGGATAATGCAGCTTTAAAAAGTAACACCCTGGATGGTATTAGATCCTCTTGTACATAAATGCCGGTTGATTTAAGCATTTTTTTTATTCTTCATCACTTTTTCACGAAGAGAGCAAGAAAGTCTCACTAAAACAGCAGCTGGCCTTGGTTTGGTTGGATCGACGTTTTTATTTGGAACTCGATAACACTTTTTGATATCATTTATATGAATATTTTTTATTTTCATTTTGTTATTAAATAAATCCATCATTAAGTTCTGAACATTTTCGTTACTATTTTCCTGTATACCAAAAAATCTTAAATTTTTATTTCTCTGATTTTGTTTTAACTCCTCTATTTCCATATTCAGTGAGCTATTTTCCGTCTTTAAAATTTTTACATCATTAGTTAGGTCAGAAATAATTTTTTCGTACTTATCTGCAAAAATCTTCCCTATTTTTTCCATTAATTTGTTTATATAGGTCTCATCATTTAAAAAGTTTTTGGTTTTCGCTTCAAAAATGGTCGCTATTTCGTCTAAATCACGTTTCGTAAGCCCCATTTCTTCAATTTTGCACAACACCGAACAATTTGTTTTTAGATTTAATTTTCTATAAATATTTCATTCACTTAATTTATCGTAGTACTACAACTATTTGCAAATTTCTCAGTACATTTGTGATAAGTAACCGGTTTTTGATTGAGCAGACAACAAACAACCTACTCGCTACGCATCTCGATCGCATCTCGATTACATTGTGTAGTATTTTTTTTTTTTTTTTAATAATAATAATCATGTTTATTTAGCTTTTTCGACAATCATATATCAAACAGTTTTATAACATATATATTATAAATAAACAAATTAAGATCGATCTAGGTCCATTGAAACCAACATAGGCTGTGCATGGACCCCCATTTGTATATTACACTTAAGACGCATAAAAATAAATTTAACATTAATAATAATTATTTTAAGATTGTAAATTAAATAATATTTATTTATTATTTTCTTTGTACCGTGTGGGATAGTCAGTATTAGGGCCAATAGTAACCTCAGACCAATTAACTGGGGGCTACAATATCTGAATTTAATGAAAATCTCACAGAGCATCATCTGTAAAATTAATATCATTTTTGTTAAATACATACCTTTTTAATATCAACAAAATTGGGATCACCCAGTGCAGCTCTTTGAGCCAATCCGAACTTAAAAGCCTCTAAAATTCTATGATAAGTACTTGCAATATCAGATTCGTATAGATCTCGTCTAGTGAAATTATATCCTTCTAATACATTTAAAATTAAAGCTGTAATTGCGCCACATCCAGGCGGAGGGAACGAATAAAAATGGTCGCCATTTTTTAAAGTAATGTGTATTGGTTCCAACCATTCGGCTCTGAAACACGTTTAGAAACTTTAAATGCAAAAGTTTTAACGCTTGATGAATGTCATAACAGTAAGTGTAAGTAGTGTATTGCAAATGGATAAGTATCTACAATGTTTTATTTTTTATATTCATATAAAAAATACATATAACACTAACATGTAATAGTTTTTTACCAAGGTAAAAGTGCAAACTTGTATTTGAAAAAAAAAAGACAAATATACGCGAAAGTGTAGTATTTCAAAATGATTTTCTGCAAGATGTCAAGTATGTTGTATAAGTAGATGTAAACAATATTTAAAACTTATATGTATAAACCAAAAACTATCCACCAAAGCCGAACTAAAATTGAAGGCAATTCGTACATAACATACATGGTAATTTTTACACCAACCTTCCAACTTGATTATATGTCACGAAGAGTATGATCGTATTACAAAATAAAACAACTGCTTCTTATTATAATTTTATCACAAAAAGAATTAATGCAAAAATAGAATGGTTTGTCCCAGTTGCTATGAAGAACACAAAGAAGAAGAATGTCTTAAACAGGAAAAATTCTGCATGAATTGTCATTTATCTAACCGTAATTACAACACAAACCACGCCATTGGACACAAAAATAGTGACCGCGAGTGCCCAACTTTTAAATTCCATGTAGACATTTTAAAGCAAGATAGGCTATCTAGAATAGTACTTTTTATAAGTTTTTTTTATTCTAATTTTATTTATTTTTATGTTTAAAATCTTTAGACTTTGTAATTTGAACGTTCGTTCTCTTGTGGCAAATTTTTCACAGAACAAGTTATTTTCTTGTTTGATAAACATGCGCCATTAAAAACTATTATTACGTATTACTAATAAGACATAAGACTCTGGTTAACTTATCCAATCAAATTACTAATTAAGGAAAGAAATTTTGCTTTAAGAAAATTTAAGCAAACAAGATTACACACTGATTAGGATAGGTATAAGGAATTACGAAATGTAATTCTCTCCTCTATACGGCATGAAAAAAGAGCCTAGGATTTATGGAAGGGTAAACTTCAATCCAGAAAGCAAGAAATAACCCTACCTATTTCGCTGCAGAAACCCGAAGAAATAAATAAGTACTTTTGTTCTGTTTTTATTGATAATGAAGTAGATGATGACCTATTAGAATATTATAATAATTCAACACTACCTAATTTACATGGAAACAAACTAGCATTTAATTTTATAACTTTCAGAGAATTTAATAAATTATTTCATATCAAATCTAATGGGTAATCACATCCGTAATCTACTAGGAAAAAAGTTTAAACATGAAATTAAAAAGATATTACTGGAAATGTGTCTATACAGGGTGGCCACTTTTTCATTGAAATGTATTGCTATCTCGTAAACCGTTGGTAACACAAAGTTGGTTAAATGGGGAAAAAGTTGCATATTTCGAAGTCCAATCTGAGGGCGTTTTGAAAACTAAAATATCAGGTCCGGTTTCCGAGATATTCGATAAAAAACAAATAAGTACCATTTCTTTATTCCGCTACAGAACGTTTATTTGCAAAAATAGACAAAAACTCATTTGGAGTTTTTTGTTTTATATCAAATTGTGCGTATGATAGCGTATTTAGTTTTTTTATCCGACGTTTCGTAAATGCAGGACCACCATCAACTTCTTTATTTGAATATGGACCAATATTTTCCTGGCTCATAATTTTAATGCATGTTCAATGTTGAATACAATGATGTAATAACATATTGTGATTAGTCAACATTTCGGAAGATTTGAACATCATCAGGTAAGTTTACAAGTACGGACCTGTGTTTTGTTAGTTAAAAATATTTGAATTAGTAAATGATGTATTATCAGTGTAAGAAATCAGGTACGTTTACTTGTACAGACCTGTATTATAAATTATTTGAAATACACAACTACATTTTAAATGCTTAAAATAATTTAATAAAAAAAAATATGTATTTAACTACTTAATCACGTCAGAAACAAATAAATGAAAACAATGATTAACGATAAGAGAAAAACTACAGTAGTTGCTCAAAATGTCCTCCTTCTTCTTGAATACATAAGTCAATACGGTCTGTCATTTGAGCTATGCTGGCAGAAACCATTTGTGGAGTGATATTATTAAACGCATTAATTATCCTATCTCGTAATTGATTTAAGTCATTTGGAATACCATCATAATATACTTTATTTTTGATATATCCCCATACAAAATAATCCATAGGATTTAAGCAGGGTGACCTAGGGGGCCATCGAATAGGTCCATGTGTACCAAACCACCTCCTGGGAAATCTTTCGTTTAAATAATTTCTGATTAATGCAGCATTATGTGGCCCACAGCCATCTTGCATAAAATAAATATTTCTTCGATCACCTAAAGGAAGATTATCTAACATATCTTCTAGCAATTGTAAATAGTTGTGTTGGTTGAGGTTTCCGTCAATAAAAATAGGACCAATTATTTTATTATTGAGTATTCCACACCATAAGTTTATTGAAAATCTAATTTGGGGTCTTACTTCTTGAATTAAATGTGGGTTGTCGGTGGCATAAAAATGTTTATTTTTTCTATTAAATATTCCACTATTAGTAAATGTCGATTCATCTGTCCATAAAATTCGTCCATGAAAGGATACATCATTATTTAATTTTCGTTTATACCAACGGCAAAATTCTATTCTACGATTATAATCTCCAGGATGTAGCTTTTGTACAGTTTGGAATTTGTAATCATGGTACTTATGTTTTTTAAGAATGTTTTTCACAGTACTTGCAGAAACTCCACATTCTCGGCTTATTGCTCTAGACGACGTTTCAGGGTTGATATAAACTTGAGACAAAACATTTATTTCATTTATTGTATTACGTTTTAAATATTTACCACGTTTTTTTTCAATATTTCCTTCGTGAGCCATATTTAACGCTATCCTATAATAAATTAATAAAGATGGTTGCCTCCTTCCTGGATACAACTGAAGGTATCTTTCTGCAGCTTCTCCACTATTTCTGTTACATTTTATGTACACATCGTACATATCTTTTTTCTCACTTCTACTGTAACGAACCATATTTTCAATACCCTAATTAAAAATATACCAATGCTTTTATCCGATACCAGACTGTCAAATATACAATAATAAAATGTGACATGCCAGGTTAACTTGATTTAAATTTATCTGTATAATAATCAAGACGTGTTGCTAGATATACAATTATTATTGTAAGTAGGTATCTATCTGCAGTTTGTTAACTTTTTCTTTTTTATACTATGAGGAACCATATCAGTTTAAAAAATCCAACAAAATATGACAAATCAGGCTAACTTTATGTATTTAAAAATCGGGATGTACTTTATTTATAGATTAATATTGGGATTGGTCAAGTGCAAAAACCATAAAAATGGAAAATATTTTTTAGCAAATGTGTAAACGAACATGTTGTCTTGATGTAAAGTTAAAAGTTTGACTTTGGTATTTATTATTTATAATCTCTTACAACGATAATACATCATTTACTAATTCAAATATTTTTAACTAACAAAACACAGGTCCGTACTTGTAAACTTACCTGATGATGTTCAAATCTTCCGAACTGTTGACTAATCACAATATGTTATTACATCATTGTATTCAACATTGAACATGCATTAAAATTATGAGCCAGGAAAATATTGGTCCATATTCAAATAAAGAAGTTGATGGTGGTCCTGCATTTACGAAACGTCGGATAAAAAAACTAAATACGCTATCATACGCACAATTTGATATAAAACAAAAAACTCTAAATGAGTTTTTGTCTATTTTTGTAAATAAACGCTCTGTAGCGGAATAAAGAAATGGTACTTATTTGTTTTTTATCGAATATCTCGGAAACCGGACCTGATATTTTAGTTTTCAAAACGCCCTCAGATTGGACTTCGAAATATGCAACTTTTCCCCATTTAACCAACTTTGTGTTACCAACGGTTTACGAGATAGCAATACATTTCAATGAAAAAGTGGCCACCCTGTATAACACTAACTTATTATTTTGTAAGAGTGAAACATGTCACCTAATATTTTTATATATTTTTTATTACTTGTACCAACCATGATCTTTTAAAATCCTATTTTATTTAAAATTTTATACGAGTATACTGTATGTTAATGTATGTAAAATGTGGATTTGACCATTTATGTGTACTGACGACTATGTAAACATGTTTATATATGTATTTCTGAGAATAAAATATTTCTATTTCTATAAGATTTTCCTATCAATTCAATCAAGAAATTCTACATTTATAAAATAAAGAGTGAATGTAATCAAAATATTACTACAAAAAATTACCTGTATTGAATTAAATCCTCTTCCGTTATTATTCCACCAATATCTTCAATGTCTTCTAAAAACATTTTTGAGCTACTTCCAGTGTAAAAATCTTCGGGGCCATTTATTGATAATATTCTAAGAAACTCGCACAATTTTTTAGGATAAATTTTCGAGCCTGGTCATTTAATATTTCCATCGTTGTCATAGAACCAGTCCCTATAATGGGCCATGTTTACATGTGAGATATGCTGTTTTATAAACTATATTGTAATAGTTAGTCGCTATACAAGTTATTCTAAATAATCAGTTCGTTAAAAAAGCTAAAAGTTTTTAAATTAAGCCCAATTGAAATTTAAAATTTGAAATTATACGTCATCGGGAATAGACCAATCAGCTTGTGTCGAAGTTTTTTTTGTTTTACAAAACCAAGCCAACGAACAAACCTACATACAGAATGTCGAAGTGAACGCACATCTAAGTGACATTAAAAATTGACAGCACCTAACAACTAACCTTAGTTTTTTGTTTAATTTTATTATTAATCTGAATTTATCTGGGTAAATTATCCTGTGGGATATAGGATATATAAAGGAAGAAGAATATGAATTTATCAGCTGTATTTATAAAAGTTGAATCAAGTATTTTTCCCATTGTAAACGAAAATATGATTACCGAGATGATTACTGCATTTTTTAACAATACTCAGTTTTCAAAAGATAGAAAGGTAAAACTTTATTTATAAATTGTTTTAATGGTAGGTAGTTACAGTTTATATGAAGCAGTACACTTTATAGTAAAACATATTTATCTCAGGTTTTATTTTTAGATCTGCCAAGCAAGAATATGGAGATATTTACTTTTTCCATAAGAGAGAAGGAGACAAATTACACCTAAACATAAAGTACAGCAAAAACCTTATGATATGGCTGTTTTTTAGTGCACAATGCTTAGGATATGTTGAATCTCAAGGTTTGTAATATTTATTATGCTTTTTTGTTTTTATATCACATATAATAAACAGTGTATAAGGCCCTTTATTCTTATAAATATTTTTTTTCTAATTTTGACATAAAGAGACATTTTTTGTAATCGCAGCAAGTGTTAAAATAATCTAGAAATAGATTTTGTTAGTGAACCTAGTAATAATTATGATACCAAAGAATGCTGCAGAGCACCTATGAAATTTTGAGTTAAAACATGCCATATTTTTATACCCTTTTCAAAAATTTTATGCTCCTCGTTTTATGCAAAACTTAAAATGCTCTGATAGCTTCGAACGAAGTCAGCAAAGCACCTCTGTTTTATAAAATTTTTTTCTGTAAAAACAGCAACACCATATATTTATGCACTTGAAATATTATATTTTTAAAAAATACATGGTGCTTGCTAACCTTCGAAAGAAGCCAGCAGAGCAATTCGGTTTTTTAAAGCTTTTTTCTAAAAACCACACTCCATTTTTAGACTCACTGGGGTGCTCTGCTGGATTCGTTTGAAGCTAACAAAGCATCCCGTAATTTTTTATTTTATAATACTCAATAGCCTAAAATGAGACATAGCTGTTTAAACAAAAATGGTACTTTTAAAAATAGCAGTTTTTTTCGAAAAACTCTATAATATTTCAAAAATGTGAAAATGTGGTGAGCTTGTTTTTTTTAAGTTTTGAAAATCAGAGGTTCTTTACTGGATTCGTTCAGAGCTAGTAAAGTGCTCGTCTTGTTACATAAAATAAGGCATTTTGTAGCTGGTTATATAGTTATTTTGTAACTGCATATCTAACCCTTTTATTTTTTTCAGGAGGTTGTAAACATGTGGCTTCATAGAAGAAGTGAGGAACCATCTGTAACATCTACTCAGTGTTATTGATAATGATGTACACTTGGCTAGATTGTTAAAGAAACCTCTTCATCCACTACAGGAAAATAAATCAGTACTTTTATATTCTTAGGATTTGTATATATTTTTTATTTGTAAATAAATTGTTTTTTACTTCATTTTTCTCATTTTTTATTAAAAGGTTAATAAATACAATTTTCACAGATTTTTATATTTTTGTTTGTAAACAATAATTGAAGTTTTTATTAAAAATCACCAATGTTAATAATAATAACTTAAGTCAATATTATTCTTTCTCCTTTTTTAAAGCTACTATTAATAAAGGTATTACTTTAGCTTGACCTATGATCAATTTTTAATTTTGTGATATATTTGGTTTGACAGAAAAAAAATTAAAACCCTTTGACATTGGTTGTTTTTACTTAGATTTTCATAAAAAATTAACGGAACTGCAAACATGTTTTACTATCGTAATAACGAATAGCAACATGAAATTTTTTTTTCACATTTATCACTGTTGTCATTTTCATAAGAAGGCACACTTTCTGGTTTTTTGAAAAAGGTTGCAAGAATTGTGATATTTTTAAATTTATCACCAGTGATACCACATGTAGTTACCCGATTTATTGGAATATATAGACTTTGCTACCACATTCAACTGAACTTGGTTTTTAATATTTATCACTGTGACATAGGCGTTTTTGTTAAAATGTTTCATTTTAAACTGCTGTAAATAGGTGCCTTTGTTTTGGTAGTTTTAGTCCCAAAAAAATTTATGCATATACAGGTACTCATTCCTCTTCGATTTGCTCGAAAAGTTAAATTTTTATCAAAAATTACATTGGCTGTTTAAAAACTCATTATAATCCCTGAAATGTGATAATTAGGTAAATTAAATTAAAAAACAAACAAAAAAGTTTATTAAATTAATATTTACTCTTACAAAATAGGTTCTTGTAAGTTAACAAGCAATTATGCAGATATTACTAAGTAAATGTACTTGCTTAAAATTCACACACGAATGTGGTTTTAACATGTTAAATTAACTAACCCTTCTTATAACTCTTTCCACATGTATTCTTAGAGATGCTATTCTTTTACTTAATTGTACATCTTCTGGAGAAGTTTTTTCATTCTGTGATACACTAGGTGTGGCTTTACTAAAGTGTATCCCATGTTTTCAAGTAGCTGATTATTCTGAAACCCCTATCTGCCATTATATGGGATCCAGGAACCAGTTTGTTTAAATACCCACATTTTTCCATTATTTCTTTATCACTAGTTCTTCCACAAAATGATGAATAAATTCGGTATCTTCAAAACTTTCAGGAGATTCTGCATTTTCTTCCAGAAGGGTTTTTAGGTTATACACCTAAGAATTTATAGTAGCCTTATTTTCAATTTCCTGAAGGGGACAATTAGCAGAAATTGCTGCTACATCTTGATAATCCGGTGTATTTTTATTAAAAAGTTCACGAGAAACATCGCTAGTAGAAGGTTGATTTTCTTCTTTCCAAATTTCTAGGAACACTAATAAATATTTTTGAAGATGAATGTGAATCATTATCACATTCTGGAACAAAACACTTTTTCGTAGTCATAATATTTATAAAAAGTACAAAATTAAACAATCAAATTCCAAATAAATTCTTGATGGAGACACTACGATGACAGATGCCATACACAGTGCTGCCATTTTGAAATTTTCTGAATTATTAAGTGACTCTTAAAACAATGAAACTTTAAATATGGTAAAAGTTTAAACAGAAATAATACTTTCAAAAAACATTTGATATTATATATTTAAAAGATATTTGTTTAACGATGTTTTAGAAGTCTAAAAGTAAGAAGGAGTACACAAACGAACGTACATCACTTCTCGTAAACCTTCTAGCCGGCAACGTTGTGCGCTAGCTCCTATTGGTCTATTCCCGGTGACGTCATAAATTTTAAAAAAATTCATAACTCCGGCAAATGAATAGATAAAAAAAAAAATAAAAAAAATGTAATTTTATTTTCAACTCTATTATTCATAAAAAAAATTTCAAAATTTTTGAACATGCCCCATTGTGAAGTGAAAACTGTTATTATATAATGCTGTGCTAGAAAATTACTAAGACATTACTAAAACTTAAAAAATATATATAAATGTGAGAAAATTGTCTTTTAACGATGTATTGGTACCTAAATAATTTTTTTATTGTTTAAATTAATGTTAATTTATAACATTCCTATTCATTTGTATATACAAACATAGTGTGAATTTTAATATTGTAGACTCTTTTAATCAGAAATAATGTAATACCAGGATATGGGTAGGTCTAAATTTAATTTTGTTGTGGGTAGTTCTTAATTAGAATTTTGGCAGGTACTGCATTTGAAGAAATCAACACACGCACCAATTTTAAAAAGTAGAGACATGCTACAATTGAGTTTAAAATAGTGTACTTATTATGAAGACAATCGTACAAAATTCCAGTTAAAAAAAAAATATTCGACTAATTCTAAATTCAGTTACTCAAACTCACACATTTTTTAAAATAATCTCATTTGTTTCATCTTATATAGTTGTTATTTGTTAGTTTAAATGAATCCTTAATTGTAGATTACATTATAGTATATAAATAATTGTAATTGTGTCAATGGCCAGAGTAGTCGAGACACATTAATTTTAATAAAAAAAAGTACAAATTAAAAATAGTATACAATAGGGCAAAAACATTAGACAATAATTATAATAAAGAGATACCATTACGGATCACCGAGTATCATTCATAAATTCTGCATAGGAATAATATGTTTTGGACGAAAGATATGCATAAAGCTTATTTTTGAATACATTAAAGATTTTTACACCAAATTTTAAACTTAAGCCTTATTCCGGCGTCCAATGAACTGATTAGATTTTTGGCAGAGTCGGGACATCTGGGGGGTACTTTATAGGTGGTCATTTTTATATTTTATGGAATATATCTGTTCTCACTCACACCTACAGCCATACGCAGCCTATCTCTTTCTATAGTAAATAAGACTTATTTTTATGTTGGCCGGCAATTAAACCCCGGAAAAAGTGTCTGCCTTTTTGGAATTAATTTTTTTTATTTTTAATTAAGACGCTATTAAAATTTCAGCGTGAATCAAACACTTCAAATCATATTTAAAAAAAAAATCAATTTTGGGGTTGATTTATTAATTATAAACCCTCTCAAAAGTGTCTGCCTAAATTACTAGTATTTTTAGAATTACCTAAACTTTCAATTGTTGTTTGTTGGCCTCTGAATCAAACACTTTTTTGGGTCATATTTTACGACCCCTTTCTATTATGCGCAGTACCTGGTGTCCCGGGGTGGGTCTAGCCAACACAGGTATATCTGCTTTTCCATCCAAATGATTTTAAATTACAAAATTTCAAAGTGCATCAAACACTTAATGAAATTTGTGTTACTAGCTCTTGGATTATTAGGTCTAATTCTGGACAGCAAGTTAACGTGGGAGAACCATGTAGATCATGTATCAAATAAACTAAGCAGTGTATGTTTTCTAATGAGGCAGTTAAAAACACTGTAAATTCCGATGTTTTAAAATTAACATATTTTGGTTTGGTTGAATCAACTATCTCATACGGTTTAATTTTTTGGGGCTGCTCTGCTCAGCTCATCTGGAGCGAGCCTTCTGTGTACAAAAAAAAGTTATAAGATGCATGGCTGGGGCTTCAAGAACAACTAGCTGCAGACAACTTTTTCATGACTTTAAAATCCTAACACTTCCATATTTGTATATATACTTACCAATACTTAATATAAAAAAATAGCTCACTAATTTTTTTCTGTATACCTTGTATATTGAAATGCATTAGTATAAAGTTTTTGTTACCATGATTTTTTGACAGATGTTCTTCATTAATTCTGATTTCTTCAGTCTTGGTGTTTTTGTTGTCATATTCTCCTGTTTGGATTATGTTGTGACTGGCATTTGATTGGTATCTGGACAATTTTCATCTAGTAGGTTTGCTTCCTGGTTGTTCTTATATCTGGTTTCTTTTTTTCTACAGTCATAACTTCCAGTGTACACCTGGTCCATAAGATCATATTGCATGCTGATCTTAAAACATTTGTTATTTACAGTTTTTTGTATGTTGATAATTCCTTCACAGATAACAGATCTTTCCTGTCACACTTTTTTTCTAAATGTGTTATGACCATATTTTCTGTGACGTGATCTTTAACCTTGCTAATAAAAAGCCACAATCGTTTTTCTTTAGCTCTTCCTACAAAACTGTTTAGTTCGTCCGCATCATTTACTTCTGCTACACCTAGGGTTGCCAGATGTCACGCTTTTGGCGTGGCTGCCACGTTTTTGACTTGTCTGTACGCTTTTTATGCAAATTCCACGCTTTTTAAAATCCGCAGAGGAATCGGATTTATACAAAAATAGACCAGTAAAAGACCCTCGTTTGTACGAAAAATAAGTTGTGGACCTTTTTTTTTTTGAAATGTGTAGAAAAAAAGGACCTGATTATATAAAAATGCTCTACTCGTTTTAAAAAATAAGCTACACCAATGTGGCATCTTGGTTGTCTTCTTTTTCTGTATTTTACTGTTTCGAATGGTATTTCTTGATTTTTAAAATGTTGTGTATTTGTTGCATCAGGATTTGTATCATCCGTACCGTTTATTAACTCAGTCATAATAGCTAATTGTCCTTTTTCATAAGTTTCCTTAGTTACTATTTTCGTTGCTTCAGCATAATCGATTTTCTGTTTGTTTACTTGATTACTGATATTTTGTATCTTATTTATAATGTTATAGATTAAATCAATGGACATATCACTGGTGTAATATTTTAAGTAAAACAATAGCTTTTAGGGATTTCTGTCATCAGTATATTTGTAAGAATGTTAAACAATTGGTTATAAATTGAAAATATGATTTATAATAATTTTGTTAATCTTTTTTTTAAGAATTCAACATTTTCGCTTTTTATTGTTGTATAGACAGTATATTCTTAATTCTACAAACTTTTTTAAATATTTTTTTCAACTTGTTACTTAATTTTTTGCCTAGGTCTACATCATAAATATTTTTGTACATAACATATTTCTCAATATATGTCTTTATTTTTCATTGCTAAGTTATTCCTAATATTTTTTTTTAACAAATTGCAATCTTACCGGAAATTGTTATCTTCTTCAAGTTTTCTCCTGGACATAGACCAATATTGATGTCTGCTCATAATATATCCATTATCACAAATATCAATCACTGGTTGAACTAAATCTTTCCACGGTAGTTTACCAAATCTTTCATGAGCAATTTTATAACCTTTTATTTCTCCTGGAACACCAACTGCTAAGGACCCTAAAAATATATAATTAAAATTATTTTAAAACATATTTACTAAAAAGCCAGGTGAATTATAAGTTGTAATTATTTGTATTTTAATCACCATTTTTGGTTCCACTCTGACTATATCTGTATAAATCTTCTGATGCATGAAGAGGAGCTGTTTCCCTTGCATTGAGACAGTAAACCTTATCCTCACTTTTTCTAAAAATGGTCATGAAAAAACCACCACCTAAACCAGCACTTTGCATATTTAGTACACTATTGCAAATCATTGCAGCAATTGCTGCATCAACTGCTGAACCATTCTTTTGTAAAATATCCCTGAAAGAAAAACAATCTTCAGCATTTTGTGGAAACTAATTTTAATAAAATTTGCAAAGCAATGTGCTTTTGGTTTTCCCCCTCCTTAGTGCTAATGGTTGAAAGACAAAATACACTTTTTGGCACATGTGAACCTGTGAAGGAAGCAAAAGATCAGCATGAATTACAAGGAAACCTTCAACTACCCAAGCTCCGATACTCTGCTATATTGCAAAATTTGGTAGATTTGTAGTTTGGGTAGGTACGAAAACGTATGTATGTACTTATTGCTGCTCCCACTTGTTCTGACAGACAAAGAAGACGAAGGGTGGCAGCTTCACTGCACCAGAAAATATGAACCGGCATAGACTCCATGGTCTGGATACAGGTCAAATTGCAATGAAAAGTCTCACATAACAAATTAGTGTAGACATACGTATTAATACCCGCCCAAACTAAAAGTTTATCCAAAATTATATTCAATTTTGATTCAAATAATGTACTGACCAAGATTGAGATACACATAAAAGATAACTTCAGGTAAAATATTTTACCTTCCAATTTGAGCACAACCTCCTGCGTCTGAAGAAATTGCGGCTTTTTTGAAGTATTGTATTCTTGAACTTGAAGGTGGCAAAGGTTTACTTGGATCTGGAGGAGAATGTCGACTTTCATTTTCTGTACTCAACATAAATGCAATAACTAGTATTGCAGAAGTCATAAAAAAATATTTATTTGTGAAAATACTGAAATAAAAAACTATTTAGTTTTCAAATTAAATTTCTAGGAATACGTTATTTTAATGTAGGTATTTCAAAATATTTACCTTAATATCCATATTGAAATATAGTTTATATTCAGCATTTAGCCCTTAAATATTAATTTAAACCAAAAAACAGTGAAGATTCTTTCACAAAATTAAAAGTATATTCCTTTTTTACTTTAATAAGCTACAAAAAAATACTGTTTTGTTTACCACAACAATCAACATAACCTAACATTCTTCTTCTTTTTATTAGCCATAAATGCCAATATAACATCAAGGATTTTACACTAATAGGATAGCCTAGTTGGTGAAGTGTGCTATTGCCAAACGTCTACTTGTGACGTCAATGCAGCAACTTTATATTTTAAAGGCATTTCTTTATGAGCTTACTACAATATACTTGGTTACTGTATTGTGGTTACTGTGGTGACGTCACACATACCTTGGTAACCTATTATTTAATGTCATATTTCAAATTTAATTTAATTTTGGGAATTTCCAAACGAAATTGAATATTTTTCTAGTAAGCTTATAAGGAAATGCCTCGTAAGATGTAGCTACATATGCTTTGGTAACATATGAAGTCATCAGAGTAACCTAACTTTATTAAAGAAATGCTCTTGTTACATAAGTATGTTCTAGTAAGCTTCTATAGAAATGCCTTAAGTTATGTACTTATACCATATTTAAGAACTAAAAGAGTGATTTCAATTAAAAATAAAAATTATCGTTGGTATATTAGAGTACGATAAAAATATTTAAAATAAAAGAATAAGCAGACTCCAATGGAGTTTTCTTTTAATTTTATTACAATTGGAAAATCGTTTAAACAGTTGATCGCGGAAGGTAACACTTATTTTTAGAAAATATTTAGTCAAAAAATACTTCTGACACAGGTTATCCAATAAAGTTCCAATCCATGAGGATTATGCACATACTTTGATTATTATACTATATATATATATATATGGGTGCAAGAGAGAGGTCCGACACGCCCAACATAAGGCGCGGCCATTTTGATGCCTTTGCCACAGCTTATAGCTAAAGAATCAGTTCGCTCACTCTGCGTCGGCACTTTTGATCTCAATGTTCCAATTTATACACTGCGCAACTCGGATAATACAATATATGACAACCGCCTATAATAAAACAGCATTCTTCTGCGCATCCTGAATTTGTATCCCTGGAGTGGATGTTATTTTGGAACATTCAACTGGTTCGAGTGAGCTAACTGATTCTTTAGCAATAGACTGTGACTCGAAAAATAATATTCAACACTGCTTCAAATATACAAACTGTACATAGAACATAATCCCACTTCGAAATTATTTACACCCACCAATTACAGTTGAGGACTTCTCATGTCAGAATGTTGTTATCTATGGTTGTTATGGTGTTGTTCGTCCAAATCTATTGTATCAACGAGATTTAATTTGTTATTTTATTGACTTAAATTTTGGAAATTAACGTTGAAAATGCCAAGATTTGTTGTAAAAAGCTGTAATTATAATAAATGTGCGAAGTGTGGTGCTGATAAAAGAAACTTACATTTATTTCGGTAAGTTATTTAATTTTTAGAGATTCTATCGAAGGCCATATTTATTTGAAAATACAACCGGACTTGGTCATTGCCACATATTAGAAGTTGCAAATTGGATAAAGGTTTTTATTGCTATTATTCATTTCAAACTTGACAACTGGTTTTAATAGTTTCCATAACTATTTATTTAATATTTCTTTATAAGTTAATTTTCTTTAATATAAAAACTCTCTTTACACAAGGTGACACAACTTGACATGGCGGTTTAGGGTATTAACGCAGGCCTGTCACTCCCTATACTTCCTACGTTAAATTCCGGCTCAAATCTCAATGACCTCGGCACCTCTTCTCTATTGGTGTGGGGTCACCAATCAGCAAGCTAGTTGCCGTCACATGAGAAAAATTACATTTAGTAAAAAGTATTCAGGTTTTAAGCCACTTGAAGATAAAATTAGTGTGGCTATTACAAAATTTGTTTTTTGGTTTTTAAAATAATGTTGAGCTCGATGCCTCATCCCTAATTGGTCTGGAGTATTTTTGACAAGTCACCAATCAGAACGTTGGTGCTGTCACATGAGAAAAATGACACCTAGAAAATTGATTAGTATTTTTGCAGTTTTGCACTGCACAGACCTTTATGAAGATTATAACAAAATTCAATTATAAATAAATGTTTGCACCAAAAAAAGAAATGATCAGAAAGCTAGGTTATAGCGTAAAAAATGTAATCTGGACAGGTATATCTTGGATAAACAAACGCAGATGTGTCCGATGTGGATAAACAAACGCTCGAGATGTAAAAAATGCATTGGATGTGGATTTTCAAACGCGGCATTTATCATATTAACTGCCATACATCATTCCCCTCCACTCCGTTACTCTTACCAATGCAATTTAAATTGGGAAAGTGCCAAGTATGACAACGTCATAGAAAATATAATTTTAAGGAGAATTCGGCAATATGACTATTCATTGTATTACTTTTGATTTTAACGCCCGCTAGCGGGATACAAAACTGTATTGTAAAGTGTGGCATTTGAAAGGTTATTTTATTCGAAATTTAATGCGTAATATACATTTTTTTACTTTGATTGATTACGATAGTTTGTATTTCTTAACGGTTAAACTCTGCATGTTGTTTATACCGCGTTGTAACGTTGGCCGGGCCATACAAACAGGCAGCGCTGATATTATTCCTCTGCTCGCACATGGACTTGTGCAAAGCGTATTGGAAAAGGTTCGATACCGAGTATGTTATAGTGAAAGTTGTACAATTCTAAAATCCCTAGAAACAACACTATTCGTAAGTAGTTAGAAATAGGCCGAGGTTAAATTAATAAAAAAAAAGAGAAACAATATTGTCAAATGCAAAAGCCTACTTCGCATAGTTATCGTAGAAAAAATAAATTTAAATACGGAATATTATAATACTCCAGTAAGTAAATACATTTTTTTATTTAAACGTCATAAATAATGTGGAAGGTATAAATAAAACGAAAATATAGAAGTAAATAAATTTTATTTAATAATTATAAATATACTACACTTTTAATAATGTAAAATATGTTTTACATTATTAAATAGACAAATATACCTAAATGTTTATAATTAGTGATACAAAAAATAAGAATTAACAAAATAATGAAGTAGATCCTTTTTTTGTTTTGAGTGGTTTATAAAGGTTTGTTCCAACAACAATCTTGGAACCATACACAAACCAGTCCACAACTTATTGTCGACGAGTGATAGTCGACGACCAATCCACGACCTGTCGATGATTGAGACTGAATTCGGAACTTGGTTGTGTTGGAACACATGTTTCTGTTGTCAGACATACTATCAATAACGTAAAAGTAGAAAAAACATTAACAGATATTAAATTTTGAATTTGATAAATAAAAAAAATTAAAACTCATTAAAAGATTTATAAATTTTGATAATTCAATTGGTTATTACATTAACTTATTTTATTTTTTACTGTATCTAAGTCAGAATAATAGTTCTTTTCACTTTTTACACTCATTACTCATAAAATAATATACTATAAATAATGATAATGAGTAAAAACTAAATTACGATCGATGATGCTATCAAAACGAATATAATCACGACATTTCCAGAGTTGGTCGTGATTTATTTACGAGCTAACTTTCGTTTTGCGCATGTCTTGACAATTCGTTCCTATTCAGACGCGCAGGAACTGATTTGACAGTACAAAAACTGGTTTGTGATTAGGTTTGAGTATGTTGGAACACCAATTTGCTATTGTGTTGGAACAAACCTTGACATTCAAAACAAAACATTATGTTAGCGAACAAGTACAAAATTTTGTGTCTACAGATTACAAGTTACATATCTAGAGCCTGTATGTTAATAGGTCATAACATATATAACAGGTGTGGATTCAGCACACCTTAGAGGTACAAACAATAAAAGTATATATAAAAATTTAGTTATTTTAGCCTTTTATATATTTGAATATATACAATGGTCTCTGTCCTTACCTTAATTTGTGGTCATCAATTATATAATTCCGATCTCTGTTTATTATTATACAGACTTTTTTAAAATTAAATCAGTAAATGTATTGTATCCATACCATGAATGACCTATTGACATACGGGCATAAACAGTTTTATCATTGCAACAATATGACCTTTAAAATGCAAAAATGTTATCATGACAACGATGCGTTTTTTGTTAATATGAATAATAAAGTCTATAATTTTAAAACCTTTGAAACAAATGTCACACTTGTATGGTTTCTGAGTAAGTTCATTAGAACCAATATCACGCTTTAATTATTTTTTATCACTGTGAATAATTATTATTAAATGACTCTGTAACTGAGATTTCTTAGTAAATTCTTAGGAATAATTGAATGATCTACCATAACAATATTAAAAATAATACGTCTTTATTAAAAACAAATCTATCAAAAAGACATCAAGAACATTAACCGTAGTTTCCCATAGTTACAAATGTCAGTTTGCTAAGTAGACATTTTACAGTTTATTTACATTTTTATATTAGATGTGTTTTATTTCATTTAATTACATTTAGTCTAGAATCTGATTTTGTTCAGTAAACATCCTTTATTTTGTAACACAATTTTTATTTTAAATAAATTATTTTTTAAAAACTACCTTACGGAAATTTTGAATTTAAGTGTCGCAGTCAGTAGGATAGGTCAAACGGGATTAGTGGATATAATTTTCGGTTCGTATTAACGATTTATTCACCTATTCGAACATATACCGTGTGTTAGAAAATTCCAGTTGGGTGAACTAAATAGCTCAACGAGAAAACATCAAAAGAACATTTTATACTTCGGGAATAGCAAGAAAGATCAGTAAAAGTGAATATTGTGGCTTCGTTCGCTGGTTCTCCACATGAAAGGAATTTTTAATTTTGCTGTAAGAACTTATTTCATATAGAAGTAAAACTAATCAATGTGCTTCAGATTGTTCTGAAATTTTAGACAATATTGCTAAAATTTTAAAAGATAATCAAAAATTCGATACTAGTTACTTTTCACTCTGAAATGTAACCGGTATTGATATATCGCTCATCTTTTATGTGCACTCCACGCAGGCAGGGCAGTGGAATCGAAAACGCTATTAGCAAAGATCAAAGGTGAAGCAGCTGTAAATATTTCATCTTGCACAATATCAAATTGGGCAGATTCAGAAGGTGTTCTATTAAATACTTAATTCGACAAAAGAGACATGTTTACGTTAAATATAAAGATTCGGATCACTTTGACCGAGCTCTATCACTTGGCCATAAAGTATTTTTCAATACCTGCAACATCGGTCCTATCCGAAAGGGTGTTTTCCAAGTCTGGACAACTAAGAAGAAATGGCCTATCTCCAAAAATTTTGGACAAAATATTATTTTTAAATAGTATCTGAATGTGCGAATGTACCTGTTTTTAGTTTATAATGTTTAGTTTTATTTATTTTGTTGGAATTTATATTGTGTTAATGCGTTTTTTTAAATACTTACTTTTTTATCTCAGAATAAGTTTTAAGTTTCATTACTCATTATTTTCGTTTATTTCATTTTTTTTAAGAATCTATTTTTGTTTATGATTTTAATTATTTAATTCATTCGAAATATTGGATTACCGTTTCACTCGTTACTACTCGTTGTGCATTTGAATGATCAGATCATTCGAAATTCCGTTTCGCTCGGTACTGTTAATAGAGGACTTCTATACAAGGGAAGTGCAACCAACTTAACAAATTTTTTTTGACACTAATGACATAAGAAATCGGGTCACATAAAGAAGCTGTTTTTCTGTTAAATTTTTGGTTTTCTTATCTACTTTTATACCGTTTAGATACCATGTTGTACCCGTAACGTAAAAAAGACTTTATTTTAGGGTATTTTACATTTAAAGGTTGAAAACATTTGTCAATATCAGCTGTCGATAATGTCAAAACATAAGCCTAGCATTGCATTTTATTTTTTGTTGTTAATAGTCTATTTGTGTTTCTTCCGCTTTCTTGAAACATTTTTTTCATTTGGTTTTATTTATTTATGTCAATTTCAAAATGCTGTTGCTACGAATACAAGTTCTATACAATATACAACCAACATACAATACTATGCCCATCTATGGTTACGCCTGTGTTCTACCAGAAAGCTGACAGTGACAAAATGTTTCGACCTTTAAATGTAAAATACCCTAAACTAAAGTCTTTTTATCGTTACGGATACAACAAGGTATGGAAATGGCATGAAAGTAGATAGGAAAAACCTAAAACCAAACTAAAAAACAGCCTCTTTATGTGACCCGATTTTTTATGTTATTAGTGTCAATTTTATTTTGTTAAGTTGGTTGCACTTCCCTTGTATAGAAGTCTTCTATTTGAATAATCTGATCATTCGAATGATTCAGTTCAAGTTCTCGAAACATTTTAATAATCGAATTACCGATTATTTTTCATTCGAATTATCCCAATACTAATATATTTTTATAATAGTCCAGAAAATGGAAATTTAAGAGTTGTATCACTATTCTTGAGCATCAAAGATAGGTGGGCCCTTTTTTCTGCCGAACCGGTAGGCTCTAGAGGTCCCAATCCGACAATGATCTTGTTGAAGCATGATTCACTAATTTATTATCATCCTGTGAATCTAACAACTAGATGATATGATTATGTAAACCGTGTTGTTGACATAAATGTTTTGTCAGACTGAACAAACAAAAAATATATGATGTTATAAACCTTTTGAGTTAGTTATTCTTCTTCACTCCAATTTTACTGTTGCACAATAAACTGCTACAACAGATCTCAAGATAGTGTTAGAGTTAAAACAAAACAAAATAAAACGTTATTCGATGAAAATCCAACACAACGTAAAATTGTCAGTTATAACGATGTTATGGCCGACCCTTCATTTGTAAGTTAAATATGTTTTTAATCACTGTGCTTTATTAAATGTACCCGTAAATTAGATTTGAAATTAAAACCTTTGGAACAAATTTCACACGTGAATGGTTTTATACCACTGTGAATTATTAAATGCTGTTTTAAGGCATATTTGTGAATAAATTCATTACTTAGAACAAATATCACATTTAAAAGGTTTTTTACCACTGTGAATTAATAAATGATTCTGTAAGATAGATTTCTGAGTAAATACTTTGGAACAAATGTCACACTTGAAAGGTTTTTCTTCACTGTGAATTATTAAATGACTTTGTAACTGAGACTTCGGAGCAAATTCTTTGGAACAATTGTCACACTTAAATGGTTTTTTATCACTGTGAATTATTAAATGTCTTCGTAAGGTAAATTTCAGAAGAAACATTTTAAGACAAATGTCACACTTGAATGATTTTTCACCAAGGTGAATTAATAAATGTGTCCGTAAATTACGTTTAAAATTTAAACCTTTGTAACAAATGGTACACTTCACTGGTTTTTTATCGGTGTGAATTATTAAATGGTTCTTTAAATAAGATTCTCGCGTATATTCTTTGGGACAACTGCTACATTTGAATACTTTTTTAGCACTGTGAAACATAAAATGATGTTGCTTTAGGTTATGTTTCTGAGTAAATCTTTTAGGACAAATGTCGCAGTTGAATGGTTTTTCACCACTGTGACTCAATAAATGATTATGTAAGTGATGTTTCTGATTTGTTTTCACACTTGAATGGTTTTTTATTACTGTGAATTATTAAATGTCTCCGTAAATTAGATTTGGAATTAAAACTTTTGGAACAAATGTTACAACTGAATGGTTTTTTACCACTGTGAATTATTAAATGTTGCTGTAAGATAGATTTACGAGTAAATTATTTGCAACAAATGTCACACCTGAATGGGTTTGCGCCACTGTAAATTATTAACTGATTTTGTAAGTTATAATTGTTAAAACCTTTCAAAGAGTAAGATTCTGCAAATTTAAAAAAATGCTTGTTTAAAATAAGATTTTATTTGGGATTTGGAATTTTATATTCATTTTTAATGACACTTCGATTTTCCCACAAATACAATTCCCAAGTACTTACTGCCCCACCTGCAAGAAAGTTGGGGATTAAGTTTAATGACCGAAAATTCAAAAAGAAATATTTTTAATTTGTCTAATGGATTTGGGAAAACCACATTTCATTATGGTTGCAAGAGAAGGATAAACCAATATAAATAAAATAAACTTAGATACTGACGCCGATCAGATCAATAATCATTTCTTTCAAAACAAATTAAGAAATAAACAATTACCAAAATTTAAAAAGGCAAATAATAATAATAATAACCGTCCCTTTCCCCGCAATGCCAAGGTGTAGTAGATCATGCGTCTTGCATGTTTGGTATGTGGTCCGAGTTAAGAAAATTCCTGACAATAGTGCTCGTATTGAGTATGATTGTTTTTTGAATTATGGTATGGATAAATTCCGGTATGTTTAGTGTTCGTAGAATTTGTATGAGGTTCTTTGGTGTTATGCCCATTACGGAAATGATAAGCGATATGACGACTTACTTGTTTCCAGATACTCTTAATTTCTATAGCCGGTAGTGTATATTTGTTTATTTTCTCTCTAAATTTTAGTTGTATAATGTTATTGTTTGGTATGGAGACGTCAATCAGATAGGTCGTCTTTTTTAATTTGTCAATAAATACTATGTCAGGTCTATTGGCCATAATTGTCTTATCAGTTTGAATTGGTAGATCATAGTATATTTTATAATGTGGATTTTCAATAATTGATTGAAGCTGATATTGTTAAAATGGTGTTGTTATATTATCTATTTTACTCAAATTGATTAGCTCTATATGTATTTTTGCGACGTTATTGTGTCTCTCAGTTTATTCCGTGTCAGCTAATAACTTACATCCTGCTGTTATGTGGTCGATATATTCTGAGGTTAGATGGCATTTTCGATAAGTATCTGATGTTATTGTGGTGTCTTTTAGTATGTGTTTTCTATAGTTTCGTGTATTTATGACTTGATCTTGAATTGCTTGAGCCTTATGTGTCTTAATTTTTGATCTATTTGCTCGTGTTCGACGAATCCAATGTATTTCCCATGGAGTGTTTTAGTCTTCCATCTGTTGATCAACTCTACTTCGTCTCTGTCGTTTTATCCGTCGTCGTGTTGTTGAGCTATCTTAGGACCAAGTAGTGTATATTCGTCTGCTTGTATGACAGCGGAATGTATTGGGCTATTTAGTGAAATTTTTTATTTGTTTATGATGTAGTTCTGAAATGTTAAGTATCCCCTTGCCACCGTTTTGTTATGTGTATTCTTTCTAAGCAAGCATTTGGGTGATTCATGCGGTGTTTTGTCAGTGATGTTATTATTCTATTAATTTCTTCAAGTTCTGTTTGAGACCATTTGATAGTGCCGAATGAATAAGTAAGGACAGATATTGCTTATGTGTTTTTGACTCGTGTTAAATTTCGGGAGTTTAGTTTAAAGTAGATTTGTGAGGCGCTTAGTGAATGACTTTTTTAGTTCTTGCTTGATATTTTTCTGTTCTATATGTGTTGTTTGATTAAATCCCAAATATTTGTATGTCTCGTTTTTTGCCATGTTTGTAATATATTCGTGAGTTGTTGTTTGTATAGGGTCCATATACACCCATTTAGCTTTTTATATACGTATTGTTTTACATTTGTTTTGACCAAACTGCATGCAAATGTCATTGCTAAATCTACTTGTGATATAATTATTGACTCTGGTTGCGTTTTTGTCCCTGCATACATTTTTATGTCATCCATATAGAAAAGATGATTAATTTTATGTAGTGTTCTTTTTTGATCTTTCAGTTGATATCCATGTTTTGTTTGTGAAAGAATGTTGGAGAGTAGGTTAAGTGATAGACAAAACCATGGAGCACTTAGAGAATCACTTTGGAAGATACCTCGCCTAATAGGAATTTCTCGTGTTGTTAACGACCCGTTCTGTTTGTTTAAGTGTATGTTTGTTCTACAGCTTTTCATAGTATGTGTTAGGAAGTTTTGTATCATGGGAGATATTTTATAAATTTCTAGCACTTTTTGTAGCTAACTGTGTGGGACTGAGTCGAATGCTATTTTATAGTCGATAAAGCATGCATATACATTTCTTTGTTGTTTTTCGACTTGTTGAAGTATAACCGAATCAATGATGATTTGTTCCTTACATCCTTTTGCATTTCTTTTACAACCTTTTTATTCTTCTGTGATTAGGTTGTTTGTTGTGTTTCATATTTGCTATTATCGATGTTATTAATTTGTAAAGTGTTGGTAAGCAGGTGATTGATCTATAATTTGCGGGATTTTCTGTTTATTTCGTTTCCGGTTTAATGAATGTTTCCCCGAGTGTTAGGAAGGGTGGTAAGGTTTGTGGTTTTCGGATTACTTCGTTTATGCATGTGGTTAGATGTCTGTATATGCTGGGTAAGTTTTTGTACCAATAATTTTGTATGTTGTCTATTCCGGGTGCTTTCCAATTGTACATTTTATTTACGGATGTGATAAGATCTTTTTCTGATACTGTTATGTCTTCTTGCGATATTAATTTAGTTTGTTCATTTATTTCTTTCTTGAGCCACGTTGCCATGTCATTATGTTGTACTGGATTTGCCCACGTATTGTTCCAAAATTTTTCAATTTCTTCTTGAGTAGGGTATATGATGGTACGTGCTATAGTTTTGCGTTTTCTATATTCTGGTAGAATTTTTTCTCATTATTATTATTATATCTCCTGTTATATCTGAACTAATATTACACTTTTTTTATTCACTGTGAGTGATTAAATGATTCTGTAACAAATATTTTTGCGTATATCCTTTTGGACATATATTACACTTATATTGTTTTTCACCATTGTGAATTAGTAAATGTCTCCATAAGGTAGATTTGTCGTTAAAACTTTTGAAACAAATTTCACATATGAATGGTTTTTCACCACTGTGAATTATTAAATGCCTCCGTAAGTTAGATTTGTCGTTAAAACTTTTAAAACAAATTTCACATTTGAATGGTTTTTCACTACTGTGAATTATTAAATGATTATACAAGCCATTTTTCCGAGTAAATTCTTTGCAACAAATGTCACACTTGAAAGGTTTCTCACCACTGTGAGTTCGTAAATGATTTTGTAAGTTATTTTTCTGAGTAAATTCTTTGCGACAAATATCACATTTGAAAGGTTTTTCACTACTGTGAATTATTAAATGACTCGTTAAGTCACATTTTCGATAAAATCTTTTGGAACAATTGTCACACTTAAAAGGTTTTTCACCACTGTGAATTTTTAAATGATTCTGTAAGTTACTTTTATGAGTAAATTCTATGCAACAAATGTCACACTTGAAAGCTTTTTCACTACTGTGAATTCGTAAATGCGTCTGTAAGTTATTTTTCTGAGTAAATTCTTTGAGACAAATATCACACTTGAAAGGTTTTTCACCACTGTGAATTCGTAAATGACTCTGTAAGTTATTTTTCTGAGTAAATTCTTTAAGACAAATGTCACACTTGAACGGTTTTTCAGCATTGTAAATTCGTAAATGATTCTGTAAGTTATTTTTCTTACTAAATTCTTTGAGACAAATATCACACTTGAAAGATTTTTCACCACTGTGAATTTTTAAATGATTCTGTAAGTTACTTTTATGAGTAAATTCTATGCAACAAATGTCACACTTGAAAGCTTTTTCACTACTGTGAATTCGTAAATGCGTCTGTAAGTTATTTTTCTGAGTAAATTCTTTGAGACAAATATCACACTTGAAAGGTTTTTCACCACTGTGAATTCGTAAATGACTCTGTAAGTTATTTTTCTGAGTAAATTCTTTAAGACAAATGTCACACTTGAACGGTTTTTCAGCATTGTAAATTCGTAAATGATTCTGTAAGTTATTTTTCTTACTAAATTCTTTGAGACAAATATCACACTTGAAAGATTTTTCACCACTGTGAATTATTAAATGATTCTGTAACTCATATTTTCGATAAAATCTTTTGGAACAATTGTCACACTTAAATGGTTTTTTACCACTGTGAATGATTAAATGTCTCCGTAAGGTAGATTTGCCGTTAAAACTTTTGAAACAAATTTCACATTTGAATAGTTTTCCACCACTGTGAGGTTTTAAATGATTCTGTAAATTAGATTTATTTACAAAACTTTTAAACGATTTATCGTCAACGTTATCAATACTTTTTTGCTTCATCTTTCTAAAAGAAAAATTACATTTCAAAGGCCTGTCATTAATGTGATTACTAGTTCTATTTTTCACGATATGAATGAAAAAATGGTGAAAAAAGTCAATTTTTTTCATAAATTTTCCACAAAACTGACAAACTGCATGGCGTTTCTTAAAATGTCCATCAACATGAGTCGAATTTGAACGAGAAGAGGAAGATTCTGCAAATAAAAAATGCTTATTTAGGATTACGAATTTAATATTCATTTCTAATAATACTTTGATTTCTCCAAAAATACAATTCTAATTTCAGTTTAAAATAAAAAAATGCTTTACTCATTTGGGTTATATACCAGTCAAAATTGAAGACATGAGTTAATGAACGGCCTATGTAACAAAAACAACCTTGAGTTTAAAGTTTCTTATTTGAATAATTAATTATAGAAAATAGGTATTTATCCTCTGGTACTGTCTTTATTTGACAGAATATCATGATAGAGAAACAGAATGAATTTAAGATACAAAGGCCTTTCATTTATGAAAAAACATCGCTTAAAAATATGCTGCTTAGACCCTTTATACACTTATGTCTTCAATTAACTCATTTAGATGGAAAAAATTGTTAACAGGACTTTGATAAGTGTAAACGGTAGAGGGACTTATAATTGAAAAAAAAATGCACACCTGGGTGGGGAGGTTGAAGTAAAGTTTTAGGGGTTGAATACTGGTGAAAAATGGTTTCGCAATATCCGGCGTAATTTAACGT